TCGTCCTCCAGGATGCGGCCCTGCTAGTGCTGCCGGCCGGCCGTGCTGCCCAGGGAGCGGGCGGCTGGAGGTGGACAGGAGTCTGGGCCCTGCCTTTCCCAGCACCTGGCTCACCCCTGAGCCCCGGGACCCGCCGTGGCTGCCACGATGACCGCCTGGAGGAACCCGGGAGCTCCGAGCAGGGCCTGGTGGAATTCTTTAATCTTTTTCACAAGAACTAGTTAAAGAGCCTCAGAAAAGCACTATTGGAGGAGTATTTTCACTAGTATAACTGAAGTTTAAAAACATAAAAAGCAAATTGCGCCCTGGCTGGTTGGGCTCAATGGCCTGTGGACCGAAGGGTCCCGGGTTCGATTCCGGTCAAGGGCACATGCCTTGATTGCAGGCTCCTCCCGGCCTAGTCCCTGGTCGGGGCTCGTGCAGGAGGCAACCAGTCGGTGTGTTTCTCTCTCCATGTTTCTCTCTGCCTTTCCCCCTCTCTCTCAAGTCTCGCGAAGCTGGTCGGCGTGATGGCGGGCGCCTCCTGTCCGGACGGTGACATCGACGGAGGGCTCTCCTGCGACGCTGTCTGTAAAGCGACTGAACTAGAGCCACTAACGGGCCGTTTTGAAGGCGGCCGTCGGCGCTGATGAAGCCTAAGAAGTCGGCGCCCAGTCCACAGCGACGCTGGGGGAGGGTCGTTGGTGAGATGCAACCCAGAGAGTCACGTGGAACTGAAAATGCCCGATGCGCCCACAGAACCGTGGACAAAAGGTATTTTTCTAAAACCGAGATTGAACTATCAAAAATAAACTTCTAAGTCTGAATGTACGTATCCCCATCACTGGTCGGTTGCGTTCTCTCCATCTTCACGCTTCCACGTGCAGCGAGGCGGCGGCGACATGATGGGGTCTCGGCCGCAGGTTCCCTACTGAACAAAAAAAAAAAAAAAAGCAAATGACTGGCCCGCTCTCTGCATGTTCCAGGCAGGCTCGGGGTCTCCCTGTCCTAACTGCATGGACGGCAGTGGCCGGGCAGGGCCACGGCGGGGGGAGGGGGGTGTCCCCAGCCCCGGCTCAGGAGCCGGATGGTGCCTGTGAGCCACCCGCAGGGCCACACAGATGTCAGTGGGCCACTCTGTTCTGTTTAAATAGGAAGCGGAGACAGGATGACACGGATGTTCCCGTCTCCTCGTCTCTGTGCTCAGAGTGAAAGGGGCGGAACACAAACAAATCGGCCTTCTTCCAGCGAGCTCAGTGACCGGTTCACGCGGAAGGAACCCTGACTAGGACCTGCCCAGCGTCTGAAGGAGGCAGCTCTGCACCGAGTAGCACCCGCCCAGGAGCCCATGGAGCCAGCTCTGCACTGAGTAGCACCCGCCCAGGGGCCCGTGGAGCCAGCTCTGCACTGAGTAGCACCTGCCCAGGGGCCCATGGAGCCAGCTCGCACTCACCTGGTCGCCCTGGTTGGTGTGCCGGACGAGGAACCTCAGGAAGTTGAACCGGGAGCATTTGCGGATGAGGATCAGGTCACCACAGGAACTGGAACTTCTTGATGCGATAAACTTCCACGAAAGTGAAGTCAAATTGGTCGTCCTGGTTGGTGTGCCGGACAAGGAACCTCAGGAAGTTGAACCAGGAGCATTTGCGGATGAGGATCAGGTCAGAAGACCCGTCTCCCAAGTGGGCGGCTGGGGACAGGCCCCGGGGACTCCGGGGACAAGCGCAGGACATGTTGGCGGCGTTGATGGCCAGGAACTTCCCACAGATGACCTTCCACTCCTCCACCTCCTCTGCAGCAGAGGGAGCAGCGGGCCACGCTCAGCGTCCATCCGGGCCACGCCCAGGACGGGCCACGCGCACCCACGTCTGGAGTGGACACTAAGGAAACTGCCACGGAGGCCATGTGCTCACCGGGACACTTTCTGGCCCTTCCCCGGGGCCCCTGACCTGGCCGCCCTCGGACTCTGTGGCCTGGGAGCCGAGAACGAGCCACATTTTGTCACGACTGAGAAGATCAAGGGTAACATCCGGTGACTGTGCAGCCCACACGACAACGCTCCGCCAGGGTCGTGCCCACTCCTGTCCCAAGACGTCCCCACGAGCCCTCAGACAGACACCGTGGGCCAATCCGGGGGCCAAGACCAGGCGCGCCAGCCACGGCGATGCCGTGCGGCTCCCAGCCTCTTCACAGGAACTGGAACTTCTTGATGCGATAAACTTCCACGAAAGTGAAGTCAAATTGGTCGTCCTGGTTGGTGTGCCGGACAAGGAACCTCAGGAAGTTGAACCAGGAGCATTTGCGGATGAGGATCAGGTCAGAAGACCCGTCTCCCAAGTGGGCGGCTGGGGACAGGCCCCGGGGACTCCGGGGACAAGCGCAGGACATGTTGGCGGCGTTGATGGCCAGGAACTTCCCACAGATGACCTTCTACTCCTCCACCTCCTCCAAGCCCTCCAGGCCGTACAGCGACCACTTCTGCTCCTCCTCCAGCTGCTGCTTGCTCTGCCTGCAAACGAAGCACCTGGAACACAAGAGGCCGCTCGCTTCTGCCAGGGCACTGGGCTCCTGCGTGGCACCCACAGCCTCTCAGTCCTTCCCCGTGGCGGAAGCTGCGGCGTCCAAGGCTCAGTTAAAAAGGCTTCTTTGGCCCCGGCCGGTGTTGCTCAGTGGATGGAGCGTCGGCCAAAGGGTCCCAGGTTCGATTCCGGTCAAGGGCACGGACCTCAGTTGCAGGCTCCTCCCCAGCCCGGGCCCTGGCCCGGACAGGAGGCAACCAATCAGTGTTTCTCTCACATCGATGTTTCTCTCCCTCTTCCCCTCCCTCTTCCACTCTAAGAAAATCAACGGAAAAATATCCTCAGGTGAGGATTAAAAAAACCACTTCTTCAACATACTAACTTGAATTCTCAAAATGAGATTTACTTTAAAACACCCAGGGCATAGGACCCGGCGGGAGGGCTAATGAGATACCCTCTGGTCAGGGCGCGTGTGAACCAAAAGCATAAACCCAGCGCCCGGCCCACACCTGGGAACCGCGCGTCCCTCTCAGCGGAGCGGACGTCCGCCTTCTCCCGCCGAGCCCGGCCACAGCGAGCGCTCACCCGGCCCGGCAGGGCTTCCCGTCCCGCGGAGACCCCACCGTGTGCTGCGCCGGGAGGAAGGACACGGTGCCCTCGTAGCAGTGATGCGACAGGAAGGTCTTCAGGCCTGGGGCG